TGGCCCGCTTTACAACAATCACGGCCAACATTACGTGCAAAAGAAGGCGCTTATTTTCGGAGGAATACGGTAATTTAACGAAGATTTTTTTAAAAACAAAATTACTGCTTGTACTTGTTAAAATTAATTCTTAGTTCTCCGGAAATTGTCTTGAAATAACACCCGGGGTTTTAATTGAAGGTGAATTTATGATATTCATTTAGCTGACAGAAGTAGTTTGGAAACTTGTGGCAAGAATTATTGTAGTTTTTTTTTAAATCCTAATTTTGACCTTGGAAGAATGTTTATGTTTCAAATAATTCATTTTTATACACTCACTTCTAATATAATTCGATTCTAATTATTATTTTTTGATCGTCAAAAAAAAGTTAATCATTGTGTCAATGATTTTTGAGTTTTGGCATTAAAATATATAGTTGATTCAAGTAGATGACACAAACCGATTACATAATCTTCAAAATATTTTGTTGAACCTATTCAATAGTTAATTAGCAGTACCAAGATTTAGATAATTTGAAACAATATATCAATATATACTGTATTCACTACTTCAGTGTCTATATGAACATTAATACGTTAATACAAATCGAATTCGGTTCCTGAACTCATAACTATAAGGAACAATCGGTATTTCTATTTCCTGTTAAATTTGTACATATTTAGCTTTGTTGAAATGAAACTATTTCGGTAATAATTCGGTAATAATTCGGTAAAATTTGGTAATAATTCGGTAAATGAATAATTCCGATTAAATAAAATCAGGCCAAAATTTGTGAGATACGGCTTCAAAGACAAATGTAACCATTAATGTTTTTTTACAACATAACATACATGACTAGCATAGATGCAAAAACAAAAAAAAATAATAAATAAAATAAAAAATAAATAAAAATAAAATAAAAATTAATATAAATAATTATATTAATGATAATAAAAAATAATTTTATCTGTTATGTATTAAACATTTCATATTAAATAACAAAATTTTTAAAGATATAACTTAAAATTGGTTTAAAACTTTCTAAAAACAAAAAGCATAAGAGTTTGATAGTCTGTCTCGTTATAAAAAAATTACTAATCAAAAAAGATGACTTAAAGTGGATTTTCCGGTTCACACTGTCCACACTTTCGGCATGAATAACATACCGAATTTATTCAATTATCGATATAGAATATATCTTACTAATTTAGGAATAAAATTTGATCATTTTGGATTTAAAAATAGTCATATGGGCGCATTTTTAGAATGTATAGTAATGATGCACCTCATTTGGCATAAGAATTATAGCATTAACGCACTTCGGACCTAGATCAATTGGTTAACTATATGGCTGACTAATGGATCTAGGTCTGAGGTGCGTTAATGCTATATAAATCTTGCGTTAAAATATAAAACCGATGGACCATAATTGTACCTTTATTTACATAAACAAAGTTAATACATATAAAAACAAATTTTAGTTATTTTATATCATTTATCAATACTGCAATATAAATAAATGCCTTTAATATTATAATATTATAGACAAATTTTGTATATATTGTATATATTTACAAATTTTGTATATATGTTTGTATATTTATATTAATACAAGAACTCTTAAAAGATATTTAAATAGTATTATATATAGTATATTTTTCACAAATTTATTAAGATTATCGATTTTGATTAATAGTAATTTCCAGAAATATAATTTACCGATCGGCCGTAAATTTTCGGTTATCAATGGTCAGATCATTGGTCCAATTCGTTGGATTAAATTCATTGGTCAAATTCATTGATAAATATTTCATTTTAAATTATTTTAAATTACGCCAATTTGTTTAAAGCCTCATTTTACACATTGCATCAATTCGTCATATTTCGATTTTCTGTAATAATTGTTACCCATATCAGTTAACAAACATATGTGGAATGACATAACATAATCAGATACGAACTCGGCCGGTCTTTAATGCTGTCGAAATCCGGACTAAAAAAATTGAATATCGATCTTTGATTTATGTTATAACTATTATAATAAAATACCCCTGCAGATGAACACTATCAATTTAATCGGTCCACAAAGATTTTATATAGCCTATCAACGATCATATTGTTTATCAAAGCCTACATAATTTAATTATCAATGCCTTCTGGATTTAGTAATTCGTACAATCGCGCCTTTTTTACATATGTAAGTACGCATTTAGGGATTTGCATAACAATATTCCTAAATATATCGTAATTTATCTTTTGTTCTACAAAGCGATCCAAATAAGAAACAAATCAAAGCATTTATTATCTTAATTATCTTAAATTACGTATGTACTAGTAGCTTTCCGAGGGTAAGATGGAAAATGAAAAACGGAAAATGGAAAATGGAAAATGGATTCAATTTTTATTTTATGCTTTATTTCATGCGTCTCTAAAAAATATTAACCTAAAAGGTTATTAAAAAAGGTATGAAAATGCTACACGCGGTTGTTAGGTAAATGCGCAATTAAGAAAATACTTATGCTGTGTAATCTTCACTATAAATCCCTTTTAGTGAATATTTGCAATTGCGTTGATGATTTTGTTTTGTTTACCTCCAATGTTACAATAAAAGAACGCCTTCGCGAAAATCCTTTATTATATGCTGCATTTATGGTAACGATTCTAGAATAACCATGATTAAATAAAACATTGGTCTCTGCGCATAACTCTCTCGCTTATTTCTTGCTCGTTTGTTTGGCATGTTAAAGAAACCATACATAATTGGCTACATAATTGTCTACATAATTGTATACTTGTATACATAATTGTCTATATAATTGTCTACATAATTGTCTACATAATTGTCTACATAATTGTCTACATAATAGTAGTCCAGGTTTCTTTCACATTCACGACATGGTCACAAGCTCTTACAAAATTTCATCACACCCTAAATGCTGAAATGATTGAACAAACAACATCGCATCGCAGGTAAAAAAAACTGCAGATTATATAGCAAATGGGAACTGTGTGTCCTTATCATGTTATTACGAAAATACCCGTACAAAAACCCCATAAAAACTTTACTTAATACTGTAAATGAAACTCTACAACTCTCCCATAATATTCCGCATTGTAAGACACTTCTCATGACTATTTGTCTCACTAAATATTTCCTTATTTTCCCAATTTTCCAAACAGTGCAACGCTTGACCGGTTCACATTTTGCTAATCGGGTTCACCTTTTTAGTTAGTTTAAGGCTTAAAGGGCGTATTGACATCCACCATGCACGAGCTAGTAACTATAATAGGACTTGTGTGTTAAACCAAAGAAATTGGCATAACAAGGTTTATCCGAACAAGTCCGAGATTTTTCCGCTCTTGTCGATTTTACTGAATGGTTTTTTTTCGTCGTTTTTTTTTTTTTTTTTTTTTTTACTCAGCAAGTTGTTTTTCACAACTATAATTGCATTTTTACATACATTGTGTAACAGTTATGTATACAAATTTCTTTGTTTATCAATGTAAGTTCATGTTTGAAGGGTATTTTTTTTTTTTTTTTTTTTTTTTTTTTTAACTATAGTCATTGTTTAATTTTTCTTTTCTCTTGCCGTTCCTTTTCATAATAATAATCTAACCCTTACTCGACTCTCGTCTTTCAATACTATTTTTTTATCCTATAATTTATAGCTAAAATAAAAAAAGGTATGACTAAAAAAGCCTCTGTGTATAGACTAAAAGTCACTACTGCTTGCCAAAACTGTCAGCGTCGAAAAATAAAATGTTCAGGCGAAATCCCTTGTACTTATTGTGTTAAGTTGGAACGTGAGTGTCAACCCGGGAAACCTGGAAAAAAGCGTGGTCCACCCCCCGGGCAGGAAATTATAAGAAGTCGAACTAGTAGGTTGGAAAGCATCATTAGTGATGCTGTTAAGGATCCAAAGAAAAGGGAAGCATTAATGAGCGTTGAGGGTATAGAACCTGAGGTTAGACAGGGAATTGATCTATTAAGATATAGAGATGAAAAAGAACTTCAAGTTGTCGAGTCTCTTACCAGACTAAGACATGTACCGACCTCGGAAGGTGGTCCTCAAGCACAAACCCCAATTATAAAGGACTTATTAAATGGTGTCGGTCAACAACGTAATGTATAAAAATTTATTATATTGAATATATATATATATATATATTATTATTATTATATATTTGCGTTTAATCTAGCAGTTGATATAACAATTTAGTCGATAATTGTTTGTTTTTTTAGATTCAAAAGTGGATAGATGGTATGACCAATCTAATGTTAGAAACGGTCAAACTCAGTCTACAGATAAATTGGAGTTGATGGAAAATAATTCCCAATTTTTACGTAAACCAAAACCCGTTTATCCGGTCCATATGAAAGAACGTCAGTTTGCTCATGCTGAATCTATTAATAATTCAAATGAACCTATTACTTACCGAAATAATTTACCTGCCTCGTCATCGGGTTTGGTATCGTCTTTATCATATCCTGCATCTCCATCCCTCGCTCCATCTTCGTTAGTATCATCCCCAAAACATTCTCCATCATTAAAATTATTGCCTCCATTATCAAAGTCAATAGCTGCATCCTCAACACATTCATCATTACCAACACTACCTTCATTATCTTCTTCAATGCCTTCATTATCAATGTCATCTTCATCATCATCATCATTGTCATCATTAACTAATTCATCAATTGGTCAATCTCAGTTTTGGCGAAAACCAAATATAACAAATTCTTCACATTCATATTTAACTTCTAATAATGGTTCAACATTTTTAAATGGTCAGAATAATCAGAATCATCAGAATCATTCTCATTTACATCATACAGCCTGGAATTATCCATATCCAAAACCTTTTAATAATGGTTTTGATTCATTATGTTCGGATAAAAAACGCATTCATCAAAATTCATCAACTTTAAATAAGGGTCCGACTCTTCCAGATTTATCTAGTTTAAATAAGGGTCATTTTACAAGTTCTCCAAATAAGGATGTTAAAAATTCTCAAAATGGTCCAATACGTTATATTCTTCCGCCATTACAACCACCACAACCACCACAACCACCTCATTTACCACAACCAAATGTATTACCTCCGTTAGAGCCGGTAAGCGATCCACGTTTTATACCACCACCGCCTCAAGATAATCGAAAATCATTGGAATGGCCGCAACAAATGCCTCCAATATCTCATAATTTTACTTGTAACGATTCCCGAATTATACCTAAAATTGATAACGGAGTTGTTGGTTTGCTTCCAATTACTAATCATGTGACAAATAATGTCTATGGGTCATCGATAACAACTCCTACTAGTTGTTGTGATTCTGAAAAAGAGAAAAATAAATCAGTAACTTCAGGAAGTAAAGCGGGTTCCCAAGAAAATAAGATAACTCCACGTTTCGTTCCAATTAAAGCATATCCACCTGAATCTGGTAAAAAACATACGGCTTATGGTACACGAGGTCGAAGTACTTCAAGTGCAAAAACTCGTCATTCAACTGATGGCAGTGGTGCAGTAACTTATCAAGCATTGAATCGTCGTTCTGTTCACACTAATAAGAGTACACATGTTCGTGGCGTACATCAAATGCCATGTCAACATGTTAAACATGCTAGTAATACGGTTGATCAACAAAATTCATTCAGTTATTCTCATAATTATGATGTAATGGGCAACAGTTCAATAATGACTGGCAGTAAATATGAAATAAACAAATCGTTTACATCTAATATCCAATTTAAGGGTAATTTTCACAATGGTGTAATGCAACGAGGTCACTTCATGGAACGAGCTGGTGATGAGCCTAGCAATGTTATTTCAAAAGTTGGATCTATCGACGATTCGCGTATAATAGATTCGTCGACAATTAACAGAGGAAAAGCTTCCGATCTAATTAATAAAGTTGTTGACACTGCTTCTCCCAATGTTGATCCATTAATTTTAACAGATACACGTAATGTTGAAATTAAATCTGTTACGTTGGATGGGACTGAACGGCAACCCTCAAATAGTTCATTAGTTATTTCTTTAGTTTCATCGACCGGAAAATCTGAATCTGATAAATATCAAGAGCACGAACAATCTTCCAGACCATTAACACCACCAAGATGTGATAACGAAAGCTCATTAACACAAAAGAATCAGATTGGATCATTGAATCCGTCAAATGCCGAATCAGTTTTAACACCTCCTACCGTTCAAGATGATTTGTCAGTAATAGATGTTGAAGACAGTCCTTCCTCAATATCTGCAAAGAATAACTTGAGAAAATCAAAGTCAAAATTAAAGAAGGATAAAATGGGAGCGGTTACGTTGACAGATTCAGAGGATTCTTATAATTCTGAACGTAATAAACGTAGCAAACATGAGAATTCAGTTAAAAATGTTCCTGAATATGATACTGATGATACATATGATGATGACGACGAAGAGTATAGGCCGAAACGATTAAGACCAATTAATCATCGTAAGAGAGCTAGTGCAGTTCCAAGACGAATTACACGAAGAACAAAACCACCTGCACCTAAAGACCCTAGTAAAAAATGGGTTAGACGTAAAGAATAGATTTCTATTGCGCTGGGTCGCGAAAGGTAAGGATGTAATGGGAGAACCATGAGAACCATGCAGTGGGTCTAATAAGCAAAAAAAAAAAGTTAATATGCATGTAAATAATAAGCGAAGTTTAAAATTTAAAACTCATCAGAGAATACGAAGAATACGAAATTTTCTTAATCTCACTTATGTAAAAAAAAAAAAAAACATCTAGTCGACTTATGTCGGATTCAGATAAATCTAATATTTAAATTTTAATCGCAATAATAGTTTTTTCTCTTTTTTTTCTTTTTTTTTCCTTTTTTTTTTTTTTTTTTTTTTTGTAGTTGGTTTTTTTTTTTACATAAAAGGAATAATATAATAAATAATAAATTTATTAAAGTTTAATTTACAAAAAACGAACGAGAATATCTTAATACCAATACGCGAATTACGTAACCTAATTTGAACGTGTTTCTTAACAGTTAATAGCGATAGAATACTTTATTAGTCATACATTATCAATGCAAAAATAATTTTTTTAAATGCTTTGTAATAATGCGCTAATTTTAAAATTTTAAAATTTTATAAATTCTAAAATGGTAATTACTAATAGAAAACTGCTCTTACATTCTTTTTACAAGGCGCGTATGATAGTTGATACAGTACATTAGATTTTAACATAAATTAATACATTACTATGGTACATCTAACTTAAAACTGTTCTCATAAATTCCGAAATCTTTCGGTAAATTACCTAACACTCTTGAAACTGCATCGCTATTTTCAATCCAGAGACAACGATGTAATTTCTGGATAGTTTAGTGATTTACAGGACGAAAACCGAAATGATTCATTCAGATAACAAGGAAATTTTCAATTTGTTTAATTTGTCTCAGAATTTATGAGAACAGCTAATCTTGTATATGTTGTAAGTGGGAACGGGATTTGAAATTTCATAGAACTTTAGGACTAGGGTATAGGGTTTATATAAAATAAACACCACCCTGAAATACCAGAAATTCCAGTTCCCACTTATCATTACAACAAAATTAGATCGAAAGGTATTCGAAACAATCTCTCTAGTCATTCCATATATTCCATATATTTACTAATCTTTACTAATCTTTACAAGAAAAGGTCAACTTTTAACGTCAGAACCAGTCTTCTAATTGGTTCTTACGTACTACATATTCCCAAATTTATAATCATTGTGAGCATAAAAAAAAAATTTTTTTTGCCTTAATAAAGTTTAATGTCGTTCATTATTTTCATAAAACTTAAAACAAAAGTAACAAAAGCAACAAACCCAAATTTGATTTAAAGTTTTGTACATAGAATTTATTTATCAAACTTGATAAAATTCTTGTTATTTTTGTTTAAAAAAAATACTTGATTTCAATTGATTCAATTGACTCACCTTTCATGTGATAGATGTACTGTATATAACTTTAAAAATGTAAATGATTTCATTTTATTTATTATATATATATATATTTATATATAATTATATATTATATATAAAGGAAATAATGCAATCGAGACGCTTATTACACGTGCACGATAAATATAGTCACGTGACAAAGTCTAGAATTGCCATGTACGCCAAATATAGAAAGTATGCTAAAAAATTATCTTAATCTAAACATAGTTCATGTAAGTCTATAGGTTCTTTGCATGCTCGTGAGGTAAGCCTAAATCCGAACAAACTTATTTGGCTTTATCATTATGCTTATCTATAGAATACGTAAATGTTTGTCAACCCAATAATGAATATAGATGTAACTCACATGAAAAAAAAAATAATAATAAATATCTAAATTTAGTTATGTGCTTGCGTATGATTGATATTCGTTTTTATATTTTTTTCCACTCTCTTTTGTCCACAAAATCGATGAAGATGGATATAAGATCTATTGTGATTAAATTCTTCCATTAAGATATTTAAGGTTTTGCCTATATCTTTTTGTTTAACACCAAGGCCTCTACCAAAAATCGATAACATAACCGAAAATAAATCACGTGCGTGTTGGTCGCACGCATAGCTGAGCCGTTCCTCCCAACTGCCTAAAGGCAAATATCGTTCCACATGCTGAATATTATGAGTATTGGAAGATTTTATGAATTCTTCTGTTAAAAAAATCAGTTGTGGATTTATAGATCTTTTGTTCAAGAATTTCATAGCTGTGAAACGATATATATAAATAGTTAATTTCTGATAATTAATTAATTTCTGATAATTAATTTCTGATAAAATTTTAGAGAAAAAAAAAACTCTTGAAATTTTTACCTTCATTTGTCATTTTAGTGGTATATGTACCCGGATTTTTAATGTCAGTCTCTACATCAGTTATCTAAAAAATCAAATAAATTATACATTTGATTTTGATTTTAGCATCCAGTAAAATCATTAAAAAACTTTCTTCATACCTCAAACCAACATCCTGGTTTCAATACCTGCGTAATGAAACATGAATGATAAATGATAAATCAGTATATATTTATATATAATAAATAATAATATTACATATATATGACCACCAATTACCCTAATAGACTCTTTTATTAAATTATCCCATTCAGAATCCTTGAAATTGAGTGCAAGAAATCTCATATATATAAAATCGAAGCTGTCATTAGGAAATGGAAGTCCTTTTTGCATATCCGATACAACAAATTGCATGTTTGAAGGTTTTGATTGCGGGAAAAGCTGTGAACTCTTGTCTACACCGACAAGAAATACATTCGTAAAGTCTGAATTCATTTCAAAAAGCCATACACCATTACCACACCTATAAAATAACACGTCTGACTTATTAATAGAAAAATTAGTTTAAAGCACAGTCCTCACAATTTCTACGTATGAAATTCCTTCATGATTAATAAAATTACACCTCACCAAAGCAATTGAAATTATTAAGTAATGTCATAACTAGAAATTAATTCCAGAATTGGTACGTAGAGAAGTACAAATATTTTAAAAGGAATTACTTAAAATAAATCTAATAATAGTTTTTACGTATCATTGCTGTTTTTAATTTAATCGAATTTCGAAATTTTATATCCTGCACATTATTATTGTTCTCAGACTGTTCTCAGAATGATTCATGGTCAGATGATTTCGTATTACCCAGGATACATCTTTAATAAATCGAAAACAGCAATAAGACATATTTATTCAATCGCTTTTAAGTGAAACATAAATTCAAAAACTATGAAGAAATGATTTTTTGTTCCTTGAAAGGATATGAAGGATATGCTTTAAACCAATCTTTCTATCCGTAAGTTAGACCAATATTCGTTTGAGATACAAATACAAATGCAACCTTTTTCAAATCATTCATGCATATTTATTTATTTATTTTACATACCCAATATTTAAAATCCTGGCACCACCAGTTTGTAACAAATTACTTATGGGTGAAGAAAAATTTCCATGATAAATTTCTCTTAATATATCATGTTGTAAACTTAAACGTTCTCTTGCACCGTCAAGTTGGTCAAAGTCGATATTAAGTGATTGATAATAATCAACTTCCTTTTTGTCATCAATGGAATGAGCTTTTGAAGACGCTCTTCCCATATTTAATTAGAGTTTGTGAAATAGTATTGAGTATTACACATCTATTTATATTCAAAAGAATGGACGGTTGATTAATAAATAAATTCGTTCAAATGTCGTAGAAAATAAAAACATAAATTCAAAATTATAAAAATTTTCTACGAAATTTGACAAATCAAAAGTTTTCCGATGTAGGCACTTTTTAATCAAATTATACCGGATGATTTTCTTGTGTAATGTTTACTTGGATTGTTTAAAATTTTTTTTCATTATTGCTACTGTAAACAAATAACTCATAACAAAAAAGTAAAAAATTAACACCACATGAGTGTCACCGAAACATTGACCAACATAATTATGGTCATACATAATCCGAATTTGTCATCATATAATAATTTTTTTTTTTAAGTTCATTATTACTTATTTTAACACTAAGCAAATATGTAATGAATATTTCACAGACTACTGTGAATATCGTGAATTATCACGAAGAAGCCGTGGTAATCGCATGATGTTTTGATATATTTCACGGTTTCTATTGAAAATATTAAGAAATGTTCATGGGGTGAACATTTGAGAAACCGTGGATCATAAAAAAAAAAATGTATCAACATTATTACCAATGAGAATGATCGCTTTAAAATTGGGGATAGCAACCTGGATAAGAATTTGGAACCAGTTTTGTTTTTTATCTCAAAATCGGTTTTAACATACGAAAAAAATAAAAATAAAATCGGTTCAAACTCTAAAACATTTTCGATACTTGGCTGCCATTGTAACTCAATTATGTTCTAATTATGTTCTTTCCAAAAAATGGCTTCCGAAAATCATACAGTAAGTTAACAAATAAGTCGGCTTTAATGATGTTTTTAGAAGCTTGGCTTAACCAATTTAATTCTGTAATTAGGTAGATAGAAAAAAGTCATAATATTTCGGAGAACTAGACAATCAAACAATTCAAATGGCAAGTGTGGATACCTGGTAAAATTCAAATACATATTTTTATATACTACGGACAATCAACTTAGCATAGTAATTTTTAAATTTATATTAGCTTTTAAATATATATTAGCATATTCGAATCGAGATAATTTAGGCTAACTACAAACACATGATCATGTTTGTAGCAGACTTAAATTTATCGTCTCGACCAGGTTGATATTTAAAAAGATTAGCTTAGTCTACTATTTCAAACCTGTCCGTAGTATATAGGTCATATAAAGTTAATTTTTTGTTCTCATAACATAAAATTTTTAAGAAAAGTGACTCAACATCCCACAAAAAATTTTTTTAATTTTCTTTTTAAAAAAACCATCAGCTGTTTTTATAAATTCTGATAAATGATTTTTCGGCCGATTCGATTAATTTTGGTATAATTGATTCAAACTGATATATATAATTTAAGATCCGGTATTGATATAAATATTATAAGACTAGTACGTAAACACTTAGATGTTAGCAGATCTTCTACAGGTCGTTCAAAGATATGAAACACATTAAATTTGGATTTTTTTGGAATCTTGAATTACATTTCAAACCAGTCGACATATTCTTGATTATAAGGTATATAGTAAAGTATATAGTACGGTATGGAAACGCAAATTAGGACGGACATGTAGAAATCAAGATAATAAGTACGGTTTGTAAAAGAAAAAATTCGTTAAATCCATGTTACTTTTTCTGCTAACCCTAACATGAAAAAAGGACGCTCAAACCATTAATAAAAAAAAGTTATCATACGTACGATCAAATTTTAGTACTACTTTATTGAATCCAACTTCTTTAATATTAGCATCAATTCATTAGCGTCAATTCGTGTTTATTATAAAGTCTAATTTATATTTGAAGCTAATAATTAACATTATAACGTTAAATGTAAACTCATACGCCGATCATGACGAAATCAATAATTTAACCTTATCCTGAAAAATCATTCGGCTAACTTTTAACAGGTGTCTCAGAATTTACTATAAGTTAGTGAAATTTGACCCGGCCGGGTTATGAGAACAAAAAATTAACTTTGCTTGGCAAGTATCCACACTTCCATTTAAATGATCGGATTGTCTAGTTTTCCAGAATATCAAAATTTTCCTATCCTCCTTGAGTCGACTAAATTAATTTTCTAAAAAGTTAACTGATTTAGTCGGCTAAGTCGATTTCATTTACCACGGTTTTAATGACAATTATTTCTAAATAATATAGTTTATCAATAGGAATACGTGTCATTGATACATACAACTAACTTGTTTAAACTAGTGATTTGAATCGGTTGAACTATATTCGGTTAATCGACCCGAACTGAATAAATTTCGGTTAACCGGTTGAGGAAA